TAAAGCCTCTTGCTGTTTGCATCCAAGCTCGTGGCCTCGGTGTTCCTTGGGTTCGGGTCTCCCTCCCGTGAAAGTCCCCCGCCTGGGGTCTTTCACTCTGACACAAGGAAACTCCAGATCCTCTGGTGTCCCAGAGCCTAGGGTCAAAACTGAACAAAGAAATTCCAGACACCCCTTACCCCAGCCACCTAGATACTTGGTTCCTGGTAACTGTTTGGTCACAAAAGAAACTCCAGGGGAGTCCAAAAACTCCCCTATAGTCTCCAGTATGTAGTTCTGAAAACTATGGTATCTGTGAACAACAGGCCACCTGCAAGTAACAAGACAAAGCCATAGAAACCACAGAATGTTTCCTCTCAGCGCTGGCCAATGAAAATAATTGGTATACAGGTATTTCATGCCAAAATATGACTTTGAGAAATTCTCCTAATTGTTCCCAAATGTCAACGAATCAGAAACCAACCCGTACCTACTGATGTAATCCTGTGACTTTTGTCTTTAAAACATAGCAGTAGACAGGGAACTTCACTCCCCCTGGAGGCTGCTGAGTAGTTTGCTAGATGGGGTCCCTGTCATGGTTGGATGAACAATAAAACCTTGCTTTTACAGTTCAGTGGATCTGTCTCCCTGGTGGTCTTTGGGGATCTATGCGACTTGGGCACAACAGTCTGGGGTCATGAAGCTTGGAGAGCTTGGGAATGTGGGCAGCCTGGCTGCACACCCCATACTGTTAAGTACTCAGCCATATATCAGCATCATTATGGGGAGGGGAGGCATTGGAAGGCAGGACCAGCAAAAAGAAAATGGAGAAGCACATCTGGGCAAGTGATTTATGGACCAAATGGTTCCCCTTCTGGGGTCATAAAGCTGGGAGAAGGGGCTCATCCTCGGTGGGAATGGAGATAAGGTAATTTAGGAGGGCATGCAGATTGTTTCCTTCTCCTGCCTGGGGCAGGTTTCAGGTCATGAACTTTTATCCTGACTCTGTGGGAAATTCACAAGCAGGGAGCTGATATCAGGTACAAGTCTGAGGCTCCTGAAGGTTTGGGGCATCTCAAGGAAGCAAAGGAGGAAGGGAGAGAGGGAGGGAGGAAGGGAGGGAAGGAGGGAGGGAGGAAAGGAGGAAGGGAGGGAGGGAGGGAAGAGTAAAAGCCAAGATCAGGGTAAGAAGAGAATCCCTCCAACTGGGCAGTGGTGGGGCACATTTTTAATTCCAGCACTCAGAAGGTAGAAGCAGATGAATCTGAGTTCTACAGAGTGAGTTCCAGAACAGCAGAGGCTGCACAGAGAATTCCTGTCTCGAAAAACGAATAAACAAACAAACAGAGTCCACCCTATACCTTGTTTTGTTTTGTTTTTGTTTTTTTGCTGTTTTGTGGGGAGGGGTGGTTGGTTGGAGACGGGGTCTCATGTATCCCAGATTCTTGCATTCTTAGCTGTTTTTCCTGAGAAGCACTTGCTGGTGAGAACCCAATCACAGTGTGGGTGACAGGCAGGTTGTCCCTTCTAGGGTTAAGTGAGCAACCTCTATACCACAAGAGTAAAAGGAGCCACCTAGACCTCTCCCTACTCTGAGGTTCTAGTTCTAATTTGATCGTCTTGGCTTTTATTTGATTAATGCTTGTAATCCCAGCAACTTGGAAGCTGAGGCAGGAGGTTAAGTTCTAGGTCTGCCTGGGTTATATGCCGACATCCTGTCGCAAAAAAGCAAAATTAGCTGTGCGTTGGTGGCGCACGCATTTAATCCCAGCACTCAGGAGGCAGAGGCAGGCCGATCTCTGTGATCTACAAGAACGAGTTCCAGGACAGCCTCCAAAACAATACAGAGAAACCCTGTCTCGAAATACCAAAAAAAAAAAAAAAAAAGCAAAATTAAACAGGGCATAGTGCTGCACACCCTTAATCCCAGCACTCAGAAGGCAGAGGCAGGAAGATCTCTGTGAGTTGGGGCCAGCCAGATCTACATAGTGTGTTCCAGGATAGCCAGGGCTATAGAGAGAGTCCCTGTCTCAAAACAAAGAAAGTAACAAAAAAGAATTCACAAAATAATTGTTAATTAAAAAAAAGTATCACTAAGCAATCAAACGAACAAAACAAGGCTGGAAATGGCTGGCTAGAGGGTTTAGCCAGTAAATGTGCCTGCTGCCAAGCTGATGATGTGAGTTCAATCCCCAGGACCCATGCAGGAGAAGGGGAGAACTGATTCCCAGGAGTCGTCCCTCTGATGGCTACATTCTCCTGACAAGGAAGCAAGTGCAAAAATTAAAACATAACTAGCCGGGCGGTGGTGGCGCATGCCTTTAATCCCAGCACTCGGGAGGCAGAGGCAGGCGGATCTCTATGAGTTCGAGGCCAGGCTGGACCGACAGCCTCCAAAACAATATAGAGAAACCCTGTCTCGTAAAAACCAAAAAAAAAAAATTAAAACATAACAACCCCCCAAGGCTCAGAAGATGGAGAGGAAAAATTGTAAGAATTAGAGTTGAGGAGCTCTTGAGAGAATGTGTCTGTGGAAATGACAGGATCAATGAGCTCAGGAACTCACAGAACCTGTGATTGCCTGAACAAGACCAGTATATGACCAAGCCAGGCAACATTCTAGCAATGGAGGAAGAAGTTCACAGGCCCACACCTTTAATTGAGGAGCTATGGCTTCCCAGGGGAGAAAGTCAGATCTGTAGATTTGTTAAGGGTGTGACTTCTGGTAGATTGACCATACTCCAGTGGATTGCCCTATACTCAGGAGTACATGGGCAGCACAAATTGGACTTGATGGGTTATGAGACAGAGAGACAGAGAGAGACACAGAGAGAGAGAGACAGAGAGAGAGAGAATTGGAGAGTAGGGAGTTGGGGGTAGATTTAGAGTTGGGTAGGAGGGGGTGAATATGATCAAAATACATTGTATGAAATTCTCAAAACATATTCAAAATGCTATATTTTGAAGCTGGATAAATGGCTCAGCAGGAAAGAGCTCTTCCAGAGATCCTGGCTATAGTTCTCAGTACTTAACATCAGGCAGCAAACAGCAGCCAGTAACTTCAGCCCCAGGGGACCTAACATCCTCTCCTAACCTCTTTGAACCCATGCTGCATATAGTGCACATACACACATTCACACACACACACACACACATACATTAAATATAACAAACATTTAAGCTGGGTGGTGGTGGCACAGGCCTTTAGTCCCAGTACTTGGAAGGCTGCAGATGGATCTCTGTGAGTTCAAGGCCAGCCTGGTCTATAGAGTGAATTCCAGGACTGGCTCTGTAGCTACTGAGAAACCCTGTCCCTAAAAACCAAAAAGAAATAAATAAAGAAATAATTTAAGAGAGAGTACGTTGCCAGATGGTGGTGGCTCAAACTTTTAATCCCATCACTCAGGAGGCAGAGGCAGGTGGATCTATGTGAGTTCAAAGCTATCCTGGTCTACAGAGTGAATTCCAGAGTACACAGAAAAACCTTGTCTCAAAAAACTGGAGAGAGAGAGAGAGAGAGAGAGAGAGAGAGAGAGAGAGAGAGAGAGAGAGAGAGAGAGAGAGAGAGACTTCCTAGAGCATTCAGGAGTCAAGACCTTGGAGACAGAACTTAAAGGGATGTGTATCATGCATGGACTTGGGAAGTGCCTGCTGACCAGGACCCCTAGAGCCCGGGACAGAAGCCTGGCACTGTGTTGAAGCTACTGGTGTCAAGGACACTGATCTCCGTGCTCAAGTCCTGCTCTAGGCCCAGTCAGGCAACTCCTAGCCTTTCAAGCCCAGAAGCTGTGGCTTTGACTCCTGCCTCCAACATTAGTTGTGTGACCTTGGGCAAGTCATTTGCCTCCTGGAACCTAATCGGTGAAACTGGGATGATTCCTACATGATGGGGACATGATGACGATTCCATAGGAGGAAGATAAAATGGTGTCCTTGGCACAGTGTCTGTCCCTTAAGTTAGTACTCTGCTATCGGCAGCTGATATTATGATAGCAGTTTACCCTGAACTGTCATCTCACCTGGAGCATAGGGTAGCAATCTCTATTGTCCCTAGTTTAAAGGACATGGCATCACCTGTGCTAGTTGTGGGGTCAGGACACATGACCCTTTTGGTACTCAAAGACCAGCCCGGCCCCACAGTGCTAGCAGCACACACCCAGTTCCCAGGGGCAGCCCGATGACAGCCTCCATCCATCAATGCCAGGACCAGTCCAATCCAACTTTATGACCCAGCTACTTAAGACTGAAGAGCAAAGGCTGGTCCAGTTCTTCCAGGCTGCAGCTGAGACCAGGTAGGCAGGTGTGAGTGGGGCTCAGAGGGCCCTGGGGCTTGGGACACCAGGGGAACGGGTTTCAAGGAGAAGCTACGAAAAGTGATAACTCTGGTTTGGAGTTGGGTCTGATCTTATTTATTTATTTTTAGTTTATATGTATTAATGTTTTGCCTGCATATGTATGTCTGTGTGAGGGTGTCAGATCTTAGATTTACAGACAGTTGTGACCTGCCATGTGGATACTAGGAAATTGAACCCTCTGGAAGAGCAGCCAGTGCTCCCAACTGCCAAACCATCTCTCCAGCCTCCTATTTGTTTGTTTTGAGACATGGCTTTGCTATGTAGCATGGTCAGACTTTGAACCGGTGACCTCCTGCCTTGATTTCCCTAGAGCTGGGATTGTAGGCATGTGCTACCCATCATACCTGGCAAATTTGGGCTCTGCCCTCAACACTTCAGAATCTAATTGTCTCTGCTCTAGAGGTAGAAAGGTTATGGAAAACCCTGTATGAGGGGCACAGAGCTCAGCCCCACTTTGCCCAACCCCATCCTGGCTTCAGCCGGCCATGTTCTGCACAGGATGGTTTGTACTTTGTCCTATAGCTTTTTAACCACTTGTCTAGAGACACAGGGTGAAGATGAGTAACCAGAGATGAAAAGACGTTGCTTGGGGTTCTAGGCTTAGTGACGGCAAGACAAGCAGAGAAGAGGACAGCTCTGTGATCTTCTGCGCCAGGCCCCAGCACCATGACGGTGTCTTACACTCTCAAAGTGGCAGAGGCGCACTTCGGGGCCTTCTCTGGCCTGCTGCTCCGCTGGAGGGGCAGCATCTACAAGCTCCTGTACAAGGAGTTCCTGCTCTTTGGTGCCCTGTACGCTGTGCTCAGCATCACCTATAGGTGAGAGCAGCTCTGAGCCCTGGCCTACGAGGACTTGAGCTGCCGGCCACCTTCCAACCCAGGTCTCTGCCTGATGTGCCCTAGGCTGCTGCTGACCCAGGAACAGAAGCAGATTTATGCCCAGGTGGCCCGATACTGCAACCGCTCAGCAGACCTCATCCCCTTGTCCTTCGTGCTGGGTGAGGCCCCTTCTCGTTTTCCCTAGTCTCCTAACCATGTTCTCTGACCTTTGGGTTGAGGTGCCAACTCTGGGCAGCAATAGCCTGGAGTCAACTAGCAGAAGGACTAGAGCCTGGGTCCACAGATTCCTCTGGGTCACTCCTTGCCTGTCATTTGCTGGACCCTCCATCATCACTGGCACAGAGACACCCTCTGGCTTCATAACCCCACTCTGGGTGCCAAAGGGGAGCTAGAGAGAGTAGCTCCTTCCTACCCTCATGGAAAAATGTCTGAGTCAACAATAACTTCATCTCAGACCCCCACTTCCTCTTCCCTGCAAGTTTGTATTCTCTGCCTCTTTTCCGGGTCCAACTTTCCCAGCAGGCAATGGGACCAGAATGGCCACAGAGTTCAAAGTAGTACCTCCCTAGAGCCTGGCCCCTGTCTTTCTGTCCCTGTTATCCATGGTGGCTCACTAGGTTTCTACGTGACTTTGGTGGTAAACCGCTGGTGGTCTCAATACACAAGCATCCCGCTGCCGGACCAGTTAATGTGTGTCATCTCAGCCTGTGTGCACGGTGTGGATCAGAGTGGCCGCTTACTACGCCGAACTCTCATCCGCTATGCCAACCTGGCATCGGTGCTGGTACTGCGTTCCGTGAGCACCCGTGTGCTCAAGCGCTTCCCTACAATGGAGCACGTGGTGGATGCAGGTGCCTGGGTGGTCGCAGCCCTTGGGTGGGTGGTAAGATGCTGTCCTGTCGTCTTGGCTTAGTCTGACCCTTAGAGGGCGCTCCAGGATTTCACGGAAGCCAGTGGGCTTAAGGGAGAATAGCCAGATGCTGAACCGCTAGCGCCCCCTGGGGACAGGAGACGTCTGCACCTTAACTTCTCCCTGGCAGGTTTCATGTCTCAGGAAGAGAGGAAAAAGTTTGAGAGCTTGAAATCTGACTTTAACAAGTACTGGGTCCCTTGTGTCTGGTTCACTAACCTAGCCGCCCAGGCCCGCAGGGATGGACGAATCCGTGACGACATTGCTTTCTGTCTCATATTGGAAGTAAGTCCGTTTAGGATTTGGATCTAGCTTCAGAGTAATAATTTTGGTACTTGACACTTAAAAGGCACCAACTATATGCCGCACACTTTTTTTGGGGGGGTAAGATTACTCTCCATAGATCAAGCTTACCTGAAACTCACTATTTAGCCCAGGCTGGCCTAAAAACCCATGGCAATTCTGTCATTGTCTCCCGAACTTTGGAATTGCAGGCATGAATCACTAGGCCTACTACTGTGTACTTTGGAAGCATGTGCTTAAGCTGACTCATTTAGTCCTCAAAGCAACCCTTGAGAATGGCACTATTATCACCCTCTTACACAGATAGGGAAACTGAGGCACAGAGTTGAAAAGCCCCTCACACAGCATGTTATTGACGCTGGGATTCATGGTTGTTCTGGTTCCAGGTCTAGAATGTTCTTTGCTACCTTCCTAAATTGCTTCCTACCCTAAGCACCTCAACCTGATAATCCGAGAGCAGTGGGGCTCAGGCCAGGCCCAGGTGGTCTTCGTGTGGGGTCCCCGCTTTCTCCCTCATCATCCTTCCTTGTCTCCTCTGACCTCCCGCTCACCTGCCTTCTCTAGGAGTTGAACAAGTACCGTGCCAAGTGCAGCCTGCTGTTCCACTATGACTGGGTCAGCATCCCACTTGTCTACACCCAGGTAAGTGTTGCCTGCCCAGCTCAGGCGTCTACTGGGTGTCCGATGGTGTGTGGGATGCCAGGGGGCAGAGAGGGTCTTCCCTTGGGCCAAGTCAGTCTCACGTGGCACTGAACTGCTGAGGGCCATACTCAAAAGCCTTCCTCCACACCCACAAAGATCACCCACTCTGTCTTGAGCTAGGCAGTGGTGGCACATGCCTTTAATCCCAGCTACTAGGCAAAAGCGGGCAGTTTTGAGTTCAAAGCCAGTCTCCTTTACACAGTGGGCTCCAGGCCAGCCAGGGCTAGACAGAGACAGTCTTGAAAAAACAAACAAAAAAAGATTATCCTTTCTTGCCCAGTGTGGTAGCACAAATCTTTAATCCCAACACTTGGGAGACAGAGGCAGAAGGACCTGATCCAGTACAACCTGGTTTACACAGGAAGCTTCAGGACAGCCAGGGCTACACAGAGACCTGCATAAAAGATGAACCTATCTCCATTGCTGCTGCCACCCGGTCCATGCTTAACTACTTGTTAGACTCCTCCAGGCCCTCAGAAACAGGGATGGATTCTCTCGCTGCCCCAGGTACTCTGGCCTCTGGCCCTTGCTTTCCCCTCTTCAGGTGGTGACGATAGCTGTATATTCCTTCTTCGCCCTCTCCCTGGTTGGCCGACAGTTTGTGGAGCCAGAAACAGGAGCTACCAAACTTCAGGAGACTCTGGAGCCAGGCAAGGGGGCCTCTCCAGTCCTGGGGGACCTGGACATGTTCGTGCCTCTCACCACGTTGCTGCAGTTTTTCTTTTATGCTGGTTGGCTCAAGGTGGGCAAGGATAAACTGTCACACTGCAATGCTGGGCAGTGGTGGGGGGGGGCTGCGCCTAGAAGACACCATTCCTGCGATTCATAGGTAGCTGAACAGCTCATTAACCCTTTTGGTGAGGATGATGACGACTTTGAGACCAATCAGCTCATAGACCGAAACCTGCAGGTTAGATGATGTGGGGCAGGGGATGGGGCAGAGGAGCTAGGTGTGCTGAGGAGAAATGGTTGTGGCCTACTGCTTGCCCTTCTGCCGGCCCAGGTGTCCCTGCTCTCTGTGGATGACATGTACCAGAACCTGCCTCCTGCCGAGAAGGACCAGTACTGGGATGAGGCCCAACCTCAGCCACCCTATACGGTGGCCACAGCTGCTGACTCGCTGCGCCCTTCCTTCCTGGGTTCCACTTTCAACCTGCGGTGAGTGGATTTGACATGGAAACGGGGACCTAGTCCCTGGCCACCCTGCGGGAATACAAACAAGTCTTCTGAAAGTCAATACTTGTTTATGTCGCTCTGACACCGACAGCATGAGCGACGACCCTGAGCAGTGCCTGCAGGTGGAGGCGTCCCCAAGGTCCGACCTGCCCGCACCTGCTACACAGACGCCGCTGCTGGGCCGCTTCCTGGGCGCAGGAGCGCTCTCGCCTGCTGTAAGCCTGCGCAACTTCGGCCGAGCACGCGGGGCCCCCAGGACCCCGCACTTGCCTCGTTTCCGAACTGAGATAGGCGGCCAGGAGGCTGCCAGCCGCATAGATGAGGCTGAGGAATCTGGGGATGAAACCCTGGAACCTTGAGAATCCCTGTCCGTCCGGTGGCCACTGGGCCTTCTTTGCCAGTTGCACTGTCCTGCGACCAACTTGTCTGCAGTGGGTGGGCCACTGGGGAAAGCATTGGGGGACAGCCCTTGAAAGCAAAGATGGCAAGGAGTCAGAGCTGGGGTAGGGTGTCTCCTTTGGCTTGAGGTGAAGCTAGAATGAAATGGCCAAATATGTAGGGCTAAAACAGAGCTAAAGTTCTTTCCAGGCGTATGGGGGCTAGGCTGGTGGCCCCAAACACTGGGGTGGCGTCCGCACCTTGCCTGGTACCCAGCCTCTTTGTACTGCATTGGATTTAGTTCTGAGCTTAGGAAGTGGCATTTCTAATTTTGGGACGCTGCAGGGCTAACCTAGGACAGCCGTTTCAGAATGTTCCCTACCCCAGTAAGGGAAGTCCCGCAGCATATCTGCCATGTTCACTTTCTGTTTGAGAATATATCCCATTTGTTCATTGTGAACTGTCTAATTTGGCATTTGCCTAGCATATAGGTGGAACTAAGTTTGGGAACTTGCTCTGGTGGCCCAGCACAAGAACAGAGTTGTAGAAGTGAGCTCTCTTGTCCTTATAAACCAGAAGAAACTAAAAACAGAAACACTGGAGGGTAGACAGGATCTCACTATTTGCCTGAGAGTCCTTCAACTGTTTGATTCTATCTCAGATTTCCAAGCAGGATTACAGGCTTGTGCCAATGGGACCCAGTTCTACCTGTCCTAAATTTAAAAAGTTATGAGCCAGGGGGTGTGTTGGTGTATGCCTTTAATCACAGCACTTGGGAGGCAGAGGAGAGTCAACCTCTGAATTCCAGGCTAGCCTGTTCTACAGAGCAAATGCCAGGACAGGCTCCAAAGCTGCTGAGAAACCCTGTCTTGAAAAACAAAAAGTGCATTATGTGCACGAATGTTTGTTTGCACCATATCAAGTGTACGGCATACATTGTCCAGAGGCTACCAGATCCCCTAGGACATTATGTCTTAACTCCTGGAACCTCAAAGGTGACATTTGTGAACTGCCATGTTGATACTGGAAGTGAACTGAGCCATCACTGGAAGAGCCACTGAGTCATCTCTCCAGCTCCCTCCAATTTAAAAATTAGTTATATTACATATCAGTGTGTATATACACATTGAAGTCCGTTCTGGGCAGTGGTACACGCCTTCAATCTCAGCACTTCTACACAGAAAAACCCTAAAATTGTTGGGCGTTGGTGGCACACTTAATACCAGCACTCAAGAGGTAGGTGAATCTACAATAGTTCCAGGGCAGCCTCCAAAACCAGAGAAACCCTGTCTCGAAAAATACCAAAAAACAAAACAAAAAACAAGTTAGTTCTGTCTTTCTACCCTGTGGGTTCAAGGGACTAAACAAGTCACCACACACTTTTACCTGCAGAATCATCTCAATGGCAATTAAAACTAACAACTTTTTCTGAGACAGGGTTTGTCTTTGGAGCCTGTCCTGGAACTAGCTCTTGTAGACCAGGATGGCCTCGAACTCCCAGAGATCCACCGGTCTCTGCCTCCTGAGTGCTGGGATTGAAGGCGTGCACCACCACAGCCCAACAACAATGAAAAACTTTATTTGAAGTATGTGCCCCAGGAAGGGAGTGTATAAATTCAAGGCTGGGATTAAAAATGTGAGCCATAGCTGGGTGTTGGTGGCGCACGCCTTTAATCCCAGCACTCGGGAGGCAGAGGCAGGCGGATCTCTGGGAGTTCGAGGTTAGCCTGGTCTACAAAGTGAGTTCCAGGACAGCCTCCAAAGCCACAGAGAAACCCTGTCTGGAAAAACCAAAAAGTGTGAGCCATGGGGGCTGCACATGACTCAGGTTAAGAGCACTGGCTGCTCCTTCTAGGTTCTGAGTTCAATTCCCAGCAACCACATTGTGGTGCACAATCATCTCTAATGAGAGCTGGTGCCCTCTTCTGGCCTGCAGAGACACACGCAGACAGAGCACTATATACACAACAAAAAAGTGTGAGCTACAAAAGTGGTGACAGCATGCCTTTAATCCAGGCACTTGGTAGGCAGGGATTCTCAGGGAGTTCCAGGAGAGTCAGGGTTGTTTGTTACAGAGAAACCAAAAAACAAAAATAAAACCAACTTATTGGAGGGGCTAGAGAAATGGCTGTTATTTCTTGAGAACATCCACTCTAGTTTCAAGGGATCCAATGCTGTCTTCTGACCTTGGGAACTTGCAAAACATTCATAGGACGGAACATGGATCTTATTGGGGTCAGGCATGATGGCACACACCTTTAATCCCAACACAGGAGGGGTTAAAGGCTAGCCTGGTTTATATAAGGAGTTTCTGATCTAAATGAGAACAGTCTGGTATACAGTTAAGTTCCAGGACAGGCTCCAAAGCAATACAAAAGAAAAAAAAATCAGGTGGGGTGTTGGTGGTGCACGCCTTTAATACCAGCACTCTGGAGGCAGAGGCAGGCGGATCTTGTTTTTTGTATAGAGTTCCAGGACAGACTACAAAATACAAGAGAAACCCTATCTCTAAAAAAAAAAAAAGCAAACAAATGTAATTCCCTGTTACCGCTTACATTTCAGATAGCTATAAAATGAGCTACTGCCACCAGCTGCAATGCTCCCCACCAAAATGGCCATAGATTAGCCTCTGCAACTCCCAATAAACTGTAAAATTTGCAGGAAATGATAGCATAACCTCTCAGAACTCAGACGCTAGTGGATCTGAGTTCCAAGATAGCCAGGACCAGAGACCTTGTTTTAGAACTCCCCTCCACACAAAAACTATCTCATTCCATCCAGTGCAATATACACCTTTAACCCCGGCAATCAGGACACAAAGGTGGGCAGATCTGAATATGAGGACAGTCTGGATTACAAAGTCCTGTCTTAAAAAAAAAGCAAAACAAAGAAAACCCCTTGGTCTTTGGTACATCAGTGTCTGCTGTATGAGCAAAGACCCGAGTCTAGATCCCTACAGAAGAGCACGGGATTGAAGACCACCTAGTGTTGAGACATAGGAGACTTTGGGGTAGGGTCCCACTTTTCTCTTTAGATATCTTTGGAAAATCCAAACCTTAGCCAGGCACAGTGGTGTACACATCTAACCCAGCACTCAGGAGACATCTGAAGATGGATCTGGGCTGAAATTGGCCTCCCCCCCAAACTGTTAACCTTGTGGCGAAGATACCTTCTCTTGTAACTTGCATGACTAATGAGCATGATTTAGTCCACACTCCCACAGTTTGAGAACTCAGCTCTGAAGAGCTCATAAGTCTCTTCCATACCAACCTGTTCTAGGATTCCAAAAGTCCAGGAAATACTGGCTTTACTCTAGTCCCTGTTCTCAAAATAGACTGGGTATGGGGCCTCTTCAGCTCTGCTCAGGAGCAGGAAAAAATTGCCAAACATTTAGACAATGTAAATACAGAACAGTAAACACCTTTATTACATGAGCTGTGAAGGATGGTTTATTTGCCTTTCCGGGCTTTGATCTTCCTCAGGTAGAACTCCAGCTCCTTGCCCTCTAGCACATAGCCATCTGCTCTGCCACACTGGCCTGGTCTCGAGGCAATGCAGGCTGTAAGAGAATAGGTGGCCCTTAGTAAAAGGACAAAAGGCTCCACACAACCTACCTGTCCCCTTAAAAGCCCAAGTTGGTCTGATACCCAAAGGCAGGCATGAAGCCCACTGTCTCCTCAGACACACTTTATCCTCACTTACACGTCAGCAGCAGAACTGGACAAAGTTCTCATCACCGAGACAGCCACCAGCCAGGGCATCACTACGTCCCCCCCCTTCCGTCTTCCAACAGCCACGTCCTCTACACCACCACTGAAACCTCCCCACACCACCACCACCACAGCAGCCGGCTCACCAAGAAGCTTGCCCTGCTGGAACTGCTCCTCCAGAAGGCTGCTGATTTTGGCGTTCTTTTTCCTTTCATCATATTTCTTTTGAATTTTCTTTGATCGTTTTTTGTTTAATATCTCTTCCTCCTCGGGAGTCTGAATAAAGAAAACCCAAATGGGCAGTCATGAGGAAAGTTACCAAGCCTTCTCAAACCCCACATTTCCTGATGCTTGCCTTCTTCAGCGCTATAGTGTTCATCTCCTTCCTTCAGTAGCAGAACTGGACACTATTCTCATCACAGGAAGGCAGCCAGCCCTTCCCCTCATCCACCTACAGGTAGACACCACTCACCAGCTTGGCCCCCTTCTTGCGGCCCAGGGGCAGTGCGTAGTGGGACTCGTACCACTGCCGGTACGGTGTGCTGTCGATGAGCACGATGCAGTTCTTCACCAGGGTCTTGGTACGGACCAGCTCGTTATTGGATGCATTGTAGACGACATCAATGATCCTTGTTTTGCGGGTACAGCCTGCACACAAAGGAAACTCAATTAGGGGGCTGGGGAAGCAGCGCAGTAGCAGGGCGCTTGAGTAATGCACCTGGCTCCAGACATAAACACACGTGCACACAGGGCAAGCACTGGCTTTACCTCCCCTTCCCAGGAAGAGCAGAAAAGAACACCCAGCCTCCACGCCTAAGCTCTTCACCCACAGCCATTTCTCCTTTAAATCAGAAAGCTTTTGTAAGCACCCTCCAAAAACCATCCCATGCTGCAGGAGTCAAAAGATCACACCAGAAAGAATCCTCCAACTACATACGTCAAGGCCTTTCAGCAAGGGGCAAACTCAAACACCTTGATAACCCCCAAAGGCCTACGTACACTCAGAGCCCCAGGAAAAGTTCCCCACGTCCAATCTTAGGGCACGGTATTTCTTATTGCCTCCTCGAACTCGGACTGTGTGTATACGACGAGGGCCAATCTGGAAAACACAAGAAAACCAGAACGTGGTCATCCAGAATAGTGGGGGTCAGGGGGGAATCTGGACTAGATGGAGGTAACAGTCAGTGTAACTATGACAAGTCCTTTCATTGGCAAGTGGCATTCAAGTGACCAAGACGGCCTAACCACGCCTAAGGATACTTTTTCATCACTCTAGTTACCTCTAAAAATACCCCAATTTTAGAGCACTAACGTGAAAGGAGCCCCATTCCCAGGGGTCCCTGGTCCCCAGCATGTCTCCATTAGACCTTGGTGATCCGGGCGCACCGACCCAGCACCCTTCACTCAGCACGTGGGTATGTGCAAGACGCCCAGTCTCCAAAACAGACATCATAGCCTAAGAAAGTGACCAGAGTCACCGCTAGCACGCTCTATCGCAGGGAGTGGGACTCCCCCGACCCCCGCACTCACCTTAGTGTTGGCAGCAGGCCGTCCCAGCTCATACTTCCGCTTCTTGTGGTAGGGCTTTCTCTTACCCCCGGTCTTGCGGCGCTTGTGCCAGTTGTCCCGAGAGATGCCTGTGTGCGGGAGCGGGGACGCAAGCCTGAGCAGGCGGGCCTCGGTGCCAGCGACTCAGCCAGCTCCGGGGCTCCGCTCGGCGCGGACCGCACGTTCAGCTCTCCAAGGTTGGCCTCCCCACGACGCAGTCGGGAGTGTGCAGCATACCTAGGCGTCATCATGCGCGTGCGGCCCGCGGCAGCCATGATGGCCCGCTCGCAGCCCGGAGCCCGGGAAGAAGCGGCCGCAGCGATCTCGGCAGCCCAAGCCCACGGCCGGCCCTCCCCACGGCTGCTCGTGGCCCAGGGTTGGGCCGGACACGCTCCTGGCCGGGGTGCGAGGCAGGATGGGGACGGATGGCGCTCGCTCCCCGCAGCCCGACCCGGCCCCCAGGAACACTCACCCATCGCTCGGCGCTGGCTGGAAAGAGGAAGCGCAAAGCTTCACGGTCCGGTTTCTAAAACGCAGCCCCGCCCTCTTTACGTCTCTTCCGGTTTCCGGGAAGGGCCTGGGGGCTCCTGGGACGCTGGCACTGGGGAGGGTCCTGCGACGTGCCGACGCCTGAGACTCCCGCCTCAGGTCCTTTGACCTTGGGCAGACTGGAGGGTCCGCCCGGAATGCTTTAAGCCGACGTGACAGGTCACACTTGCCCGCCGTTGTGCCCACAGTCCCCCCCCCCTTTGGAAACATGGTCTTCTGTAGCCTGGATCCTAAATTTCCACCTCCGAAGTGCCGGAATTAAAGTCGTACATTACCTTGTCTTTATATGTTCTCCCCCCCTCCCCGGAGAACATATAAACTACACTTGTCAGGGCATGGCTCATGCCTTCAGTCCCAGCTCACCGGAAGCAGAGGCAGGTGGATTTCTGTGACTTTGAGGCCCACCTGTTCTATAAAGCGAGTTCCAGGACAGCCAGGTTTGCACAGTCCCTGTCTCTAAAAAGAGAAAGAAAATAGAATTAAACTTATCGGTCTGTGTGGGTGAGCTCGTGACTGGAAAAGGAGTCAACTTGAGGGAATCGGTTAGGTTTGCCCTGTGGGACCCGGCATCTTTTGTTTTTGTGTGTGCTGCTGTTGGGAACTGAAGCTGTTGGATACCAGGCAACCACAAGCGGACCTGACCGCCAGGTTCTTCCTGCGTCCCTAAGTCTCTGCCTGATACAGGGCATGGCTGCCATACCTGGTCCTCTACCCTGAACTCTCTAACCCAGGGACAGGGCTGCCCTTCCCTACACGGGTAAGACATACACAGACATTTTGGTTACCGGCCCCCTTTTGTACCTTTGGCCTCCAGGCTGCTGTGCCTGGTCTCTCCTCTCTCCCTGTCCCTACCCAACATGGCCCAGCTCAGTCTGCTCATGTCCACGCTGGACTCTCCAGACGTCTCTGCATCTACCTACCCTCTCCCTTTTCTCTACCTCCACCATACCAAGGAGCAGTCATGTCCTTTCCTTTTGATTTCTATTTTTCACTCATACCCTAGTTCTAGAATACAATTATTTTTTAATTAAAAAATTGATTTATTTTCGCCCAGCAGTGGCGGCCCACACTTTTAATCCCAGCACTCAGAGGCAGAGAGACAGGTCGGTCTTTGTGACTTCGAGGCTACTCTGGTCTGCAGAGCAAGAGAAACCCTGTCTCAAAAAAACAAAACAAAACAAAAAACAACCCGGCTTGATGGAGCATGCCTTTAATCCCACCACTGGGAGGCTTGGGGCGGGATGTGGGGCATTTTGATTTCCTGGGCATTGGTGTTTTGCCTGCATGTATGTCTGTGTGAAGGTGTTGGATCCCCTGGAGCTGGGGTTACAGACAGCTACGAGCTGCCATGTGAGTGCTGAAAATTGAACACCATTCTCTGGAAGAGCAGCCAGTGCTCTTACCTGCTGAGCCATCTCTCCAGCCGCTGAAATACATTTATGATGAGGCTACTTAAGGCACAAGTACTTAATCCTGTCTAGTCAGAAAATAGCAAATATGGGGCCAGTCAGAAGACTCAGCAGTGAACGTTGCAGCTGTCAAAACCTGAAGACCTGAGTTTGATCCTCTGGACTTAACAGAATAGAAAGAGAGAAGAAACTTTTGCAACTTGTCCTCTGGTCTCCAAGCACTCACATACATACATAATTTAATAAACTATAATAAAATAGCAAATGAATGGCTGTGTCATGTGCATACTTGGATTTGAGTTCCATGTAATTTTTTAAAATTTATTTTTATTTCATGTGCATTGGTGCTTTTGCCTGCATGTATGTCTGTATTGAGGGTGTTGGATCCCCTGGAACTGGAGTTACAGTTGTGAGTTGTCATGTGGAGGCTAGGGGATTGAGCCTGGGTCTGCTGGAAGAACAGCCAGTGCTCCAACCCCTGAGCCATCTCCTCAGCCCAAGTTTCATATAATTTTCGTGTCCACGTATTATGTCTTAAAAATAAACTCCTGGACTAAGTACCCCACAGACCAGACAAACTCAAAATGGAGGCTTTAAAGGGCTCTAACTCAGGTGGTACAATGCTTGTTTAGCATGCCTGAAAGTGGTGGGTTCAATACAACAGAGGAAATACATTGAAGACAGGGTTTTTCTGTATAGTCCTGGCTGTCCCAGAACTTGCTTTGTAGACCAGGCTGGCCTCAGACTTAGATATGTACTTGTCTCTGCCTCCTGAGTGCTGGGATAAAAGGTGTGGGCCACCATGCTTGAATCTTTTTTTTTTTTTTTTTTTGGTTTTTCGAGACAGGGTTTCTCTGTGGCTTTGGAGGCTGTCCTGGAACTCGCTTGGTAGTCCAGGCTGGTCTCGAACTCACAGAGATCCGCCTGCCTCTGCCTCCCGAGTGCTGGGAATAAAGGCGTGCAGCACCACCAACGCCCGGCTTCACCATGCTTGAATCTTTTGTTTGCTTTTTTCTTTTTCTCCCTCTTTGTTTGCTTTTAAAAATAATATCTTCCCAGGCGTTGGTGGCACACGCCTTTAATCCCAGCATTCAGGAGGCAGAGGAAGGTGGATCTCTGTGAGTTCCAGACCAGCCTGGTCTACAAGAGCTAGTTCCAGGACAGCTTCCAAAGTCACAGAGAAACCCTGTCTCAAAAAAAAAAAATAAAAAAATAAAAAAAATAAAACAAAAAAAACAAAACAAACAAAAAAAGTACCTCTCACTCTTTAGCCTAGGCTGCCCCTCAACTGGTGATAATCCTCAGCCTCAGTACTGGGATTAGAGGTTTGAGCCACCACGCCAGACCAAAATGTCAGATCCTCTGGAACTGGAATTGCAGGAGCTGTGAATTACCTAACTGAACTCAGGTCCCTTCAAGAGCAGTAAGTGCTTTTAACCACTAGGCTGTCTTTCTAGAACTAGAATTGCTTTTGTTTTTGGTTTTTTGGTTTTTCGAGACAGGGTTTCTCTGTGGCTTTGGAGGCTGTCCTGGAATTCGCTTGCTAGTCCAGGCTGGTCTCGAACTCACAGAGATCCGCCTGCCTCTGCTTCCCGAGTGCTGGGATTAAAGGCGTGCGCCACCCGGCCTTGCTTTTGTTTTTATTTTCCTTTCCAGATTCCTAATTGCTGCCATATAGATAGACACATGAATTTTGTGTGATCATATACAGGATCAAATCCACCTGTGAACAGAGAATTTCTACTTTTCCAATTAGGACCCTTTACTCCTTTCTTGCCTAATATCCCTGAGCAAAAGTAAGTGTCCTTGAGCCAGGCCTGAGGCACGGGCTTACTGTGTCAGCTAAGAGGTCTGAGGTTGTAGGGTTGCAAGTTCAACACTAGCCTGGGTACCTTAGTGAGATCTTCCTCAGAAACAAC